GAGACCAGACAACAAGCACGACGACGAGGATTTTCTCTCTCAGCTTATTCCAAAATAGTCCTTCGCTATGCTCCCCCACCACTTACAAGATGCTTCTGCATATCTACCAGTGTCTCTTCCCAATACCGTAAACCATCCTGCGTCTAATCACCCTATCTCCAGTCTAAATCCAGATTCTCCAAACGCTACCACTTCCCCGATCCCCCTCCTCTTCATTTTATTTGTCGCACCAGGTAACCTAAACGTTCCACTCCACCCTGTCCTACTACATCGTCTCCTACACCTTCCTCTTCTTCTGCTCCTCAGATATCTATCTCCTCTTCTCCTCCTCATAAGAAAAGCTTTGTTTCTCAGTCCTCTTCACCCAACTCCCCTCCAAAGACCCTTGAGGACATCCAAAACTTCCTAAAGATGACCCAAGGGAACACTCCGCTCTTTCATCCACCCCCAATCCCTCTATTCCTACTCCTACATATAAAGTATTTGCAGATATCCATCATCCTCCTCTTCAAGTTCCCTCCACCCCCTTTCCTCCTATACCCTCCCAACAAACCCGGCCTCTCTACCACTCACACGAATCCCCTCTATCACAACAGTGTCCTTCTCCAGACTCCAGACATTCGTCCTGATACTTCACCACCTTCCTCAGTCCCCCTTTCTCATCCCCCGGATTCTTCTCCTCCTACTTCTCCAACACCCACCTCTGTTTTCCTTGAACAATGTCCATATTCCTTCCACAGTCACAGATACAATGCAATTCATTCAATCGCTCTACCCCTTAACCTTCCCATTTTAACTAATCCCAGCTCTACTTCGTTTACTTCCCTCTTTCCCCTTTTCGTCACCATACTGTTCTATAACACCCTCTTATCTTTGACATCTAACACGCCCCTCTCTCCCCGGATTCCTTTTCCAACAACCATCTGTTTTCCTTGAACATACACTGCAATTCACTCAGTCGCTCAACCCCCTTATCCATCTCCTTTCTACTAATCTGTTCTAGTTCACTTACTCCCCTCTTTTGCCTTTTCTTTATCATACTATCCTATAACGCTCTCTAATCTTTGACATCTAACACATTTATCCTAATCTTTGACATCTAACACATTTTATCCTAATCTTTGACATCTAACACATTTTATCCTAATCTTTAACTCCTCTTTACCCTTTCCGACACAATATTTTACCATAGTGCTATATGATATTTGATATCTATCCCATTTATTTGTTTCAAACATTAAACATTTCTCAACCGTCAGGAACATCCTCTTTCCCAACATCCACTCCGTCATCTTTACATGTCTTCATTTTCTACCCCATTCAATCCATCCCATGCCCATTGTTGTCTTGGGAGGGGGGGGTGCTTAGGAGACCAAGCTTGAGGCCCAGTGTTGGGGATTTCCTTTTCCTCGCGGCCTCAGCCGTCTGTCTGCTCAACCAGGTTGCATGTTCTCATCCTCCCCACCCTCCTTTTCACTTCCATTTTCTTTGTCCACTCTCTAAGATGTGAGACATGTGTTGAAAGAGTCAATCCAGAATAATTTCAGGGAGCCATGGGTACAGTCTTCTGTTCAGTTATCTAGCCCATACCCATCATGAAGACCCTGAGGGGTAAACCATTTCTCTTCCCAACATACTCCAGGCTTATCATGGCCAGTAATTATTTTGTATATCTTATTAGGGTTTTTTAAGCTTGCCCTTTAATTAACTAGCCCCAGAGGCATTAACTTTTGGAGTTCCCTACCCCTGGCTCCCTTTGATCACGACTCTAAACACCTACTATTTTCCTTTCCCCGATGCCTGCTGTCAGCTTAATATGTTTCTAAAACACCTGCCATAAGTCATAACCCAAACCACAGAAATCATTCCTTCTTCTCAACATCCTCCACTCTATCTCATCTGCCAGTTTTCTTCATTTTCATCCCCCTCCTCCCTTTTTCTAGCACATTGATCGCTCTTTTAATTCCATTAAATTTCTCCTGTTTGACTTAAATTTGGACATTGGGCACCGTAGGGTCATTGGGTCTCTTTCAATTGTATACAAAACTGTAACCGGTAATTCACATCCCTCTATAAGTTTTACCTGATTTTTATCAACCTGCAAGAATTACCAGTTCTATGACCCACAACTCAATGACATTTGATGCAAGTCGATCGCCAACGTCTCGGATTTTTGGATGCTTTATTACTGCAATTTGTAGCCTTTGGAATAGATTGCCTTCAGAGATTGTTTAAGGAATTTAAAAGATGAACTAATATGTTTTTACTACGTAATAGCTTATTTTCTATCTTCTCATTCTTTCTTAGCTGTATTTTGACCTGCACTGACACCTTTAGTGGTATAAATATCTTTTTATGTCAGTGTGACTCTTTATATGGCTTACCATAATAATAATTTAATTGTATCAGTCATTAGCCATTAACCCCTCCTCCCTTATTCCTGCTCTGCATCCTTATTGTCCACCTCCCCATCAATCATTAACCATTCAATTTCTACTCC